CAACATAAGCACCTTGGCTTCCTATTTTTCACCAGACTCATCCTCATTACTCTCTCAGCCCAATCAAACCCATCAGACACCATCCTAAACTTACCCCTCTTGAATCAGCATCATAGAGATGGTTCTCGCAGATTGAGAATTTTATACACATTAATCTTACAAAGTCAGAACCCCCCACCCCTCCAGATTCAGCGTCACACTCAAGAAGTTCAGTTCAGCCAATGTATTGAAAAGGAAGGCACTTTCCACGCTGGTCTCTCAAATGGGTTAAAAGGCTGGTCTGCAGCAGGACTCAGGAAAATACCATTTCTTCTAGCACTCTCCTGCCCCTCTGCACCACCCCAGAGACCTCCCGTCAAACCCTCCCCATACGTTCCTGATCTCCTGCAGCCCCTATGGTTTCCTTCCTGCTCGCTCATCCTCCTGTTAGAGCCACCCAGCCCCTCCAGCAAGGAAGTTAGCTTTCTAGGAAGAGATGGCGAGAGGAATTGAGACCACAGTTTCCAGGGCTGCGGGGCAGAGCAGTTTGTCACCGCTCACATCAGTCCCTTTTGCCCCATTACAGACAAGACCAACCAGACCTAGGAAAAGCAGGCGATGCAGCAAAATAGGAGGTTTCGTGAGGCTCTCCAGAGCAGGGGAGCAGAGTGCTCCCAGCCCACCTGTCCATCATCTGGGGGGATGGGTACAGGTGGTGAACCCCCATCCCCAACAACCAGGTGACACTGAGCAAGTTTATTAATTTGTCTGAGCCCCAGCTCCCTCATCTATAAATGGGACCATAATTGCACTTAATTCACAGGGTTGTTGAAAGGATTAAATGTGATCATGCATGGAGAGCGTTTAGCACAGAGTCTGTGAACACCGTCGGCCTTCAGTATTTTTCATTCTGATCATGTATATTCACTCCAGCCGCACCGAGAAAAGTTCTTCCAACGTGCAAATGGTAGGGACAAACCAGGCTCAGGTGGAGACAAGATTTCTCAAGCTATTTACTCTGTTTCTTAATGTGTCTGGCTAGGAGAGCGGCTGGTTCCCTGGGCCGGAGAGCGTGGTAAGGCAGGGGAGAGCTCTGTGACCATCCCCTAAAGTCACATGAACTAACGACCACAGAAATGTCTCAGTTCACCCCCGCAGACAGTCTACATTCTCCAGGGACATGATTCTATAAGTACTCGTGACCTTCCTCAGTGGAGGAAAATCTGATGAGTATTTATTTTCATTCATTTCTTTGCTCTTAAAATAAAAGGCAAGCACTTGAGTTAGGCTGTAATTCATTATATATAAATACATATCTTGAGTCCATTCTTTATAGTTGTAGATTCTAAGCAGTGGCTTTGGTAGTGACATTTTTGTGGAGTAAAATCTGCCCACACCTGCATTCTGCAGCCTGGGGGTTGGGAGCCCCAGTCGGGGTGTATTCTGGACACCTTCATCCCCAGAAGGACTTTGGCCTGGCGAGTCAGGGGTCGGAGGTCTGCTGTTGCCTCCTGGCCTGTCCTCTGTGACATGAAGGATGGGCCATGGAGTGGACGGACCCACAAGCCAAGTCAGATTCACTCCACCTGGTGCCCTGGGAGAACCAAAGCAGTGAGCACAGGGCGGTGCAGGAAGAGGGGGCAAGGCCTGTGTCTCACAGGGCAGATTTGTGGGCAGCCACGGGGTTGTGCCTAAGAGGAAAGAGAGGCGAGGGGGACAGGGGAAGGGGCATGTTCCAGAGGCCCTGCAGGGGAAGGGGTCCTGACTCCTGGAAAAGCCCAGCCTGCATGTGTCCGGAGGACACTGAGACAGTGACTCACCAGTGGGCGAGAGGCCTCACTCCAGCTACAGATAGATGCTCAGGGGAGAATAGAAGCCACAGTTGTGAACAATAGCATGAAAGAAAAATCCACTATTGATTGTGGAGAGAAGGAAGCCATCTCCTGTGTAAGCAGTAAACAAATAGGAGTCCAGCTGCCATCGTGGAAACTGTGGACTCTCTCAAATGCCTATAATTTCCTCAACATTCTTGCAGGGTCTTGCTGACATTAACAATGGGGGCTGTTGGCTCGGGTTTAGAGGGATGGGCGCCGGGGCATGGGAGGTGTTCTTCCCTTTGCTCTGTGTTCCTCACATTGAAAGCATAGTTCTAAAAAGAAGCCACATCCAGATGCCTCTGGAGCTTATGTTCTGCAGTTGTGGGAATGAATTTGAGGTCCTGTACAAGCTCCATTGATCATTCAACACCCCAGCCACCCTCCGTCACTGTTACTCGCGAAGGTCCCCATCAGTCCACTGGCGCTGTGAGTTCGCGAAGCCCCCTGCACAGCAGCCCCACGGCTTTCCCGGCTCTCAGCTCTCTCTGCTTCTGCACCGCTCTGCGTCTCTGATTCAAGACGTTGAGGAAGAACAACCTCTGGGGTGTTGGAGTGGTTTTCTCTTTGACTCAATCACAGCCTGATTTCTTCCCAATCCAGCATGGTTTCTTCCCCCTTAGCTTTTAATCTATGGGTGCAGGCTAATTCCTGAGCAATTGAGCTATGACTTTGCCAAACTGACTGTTCATGCTGGGTGATCCTCAGGAAGCAAGAGTGGAGTAGCTGGGGTCCCATTTCTGTGCCACGTGCAGAGCTGAGGCCACCTCCTCTCTCCTCTCACCACTGTCTACTGATCCAACACCTTCTTCACAGACCCGAGGGTGAGAGAGCAGTTACGCGCTGTCTATGCCACGCTGCCCAACGCCAGCCCAGGCGCCAAGCTGGAGCTGGCCTGCACGCTCTATGTGCAAGTGGGAACGCCGCTGGCCCCCTGCTTCGTGGAGCAGGTCTCCCAGTGGGCCAACAGCAGCTTGGAGCCAGCCAACCTCAGGGAGCCCAATGGTACCACCATGCTGACCAACGGATGGGCCTCCAGGCAGCCCACAGGTAAAGGGGAACCATCCACTTTGATGAGACTAAGAAAGAAGGAGGGCTGGAAAGCCAGGTACCACCCACTACTTGTCAGAAGCCATGAGATGGGTACTCGAGCCACCCTCAACTGCAGCAGAAGTCTGTCCTCTCAGGAGACCCTACCCTTGAGTGAAGCAAGGCTCACCTTTGGTCCCCTTCTTCCCCGCCTCCACTGATACCTGCGTACACATGTGTGCACACATGCGCACACACACACACACACACACACACACACAGAAGGATGCTCTTCAGAGCCTCCCATCTCCAGCGGAGCCCTGGAGGCTTTATCCCATGCACCTGCCCTTCCAGGTGAGTTCCCAATGAACTTTGCTCTCATCTACAATGAACTTCCTGTGATAGCAAAATGCAGCAGGAGCCCAAAGAGTGGTTTCTTGGGAATTTAGTGTAAGGACATAATTCAAGGGAAAAAATTACACATAATATTATGTATAAAAAATTATACATAATAATATGTTTAGGCCAGTGTTATAGGAAGAAGACTTACAAACAACCTGTCCAGCAATTAGGGATGATTCAATGAATTACAGCACCTGCATATCCTGCAGTTGAAATTATTATCAAAGATGATGAACAGTATTACCATTTACTGAGTGCTCAGTTTTTTCATTTAGTACTCTTCTAAGTGCTCCACATTTATTACGCTCAGTGCCCCCTCACAGTAATCCTAAGAGGTAGGCACTACTATTGTCCCCATTTTACAGATAGAGAAACTAAGGCAGAGAGTTGGGCCTCCTGCCTGGCACCCACAGAGCCAGGATTCTAACCCAGCAGTCTGTCTCTAGCATCCTTGACATACAAGAACAAAGATTATGCAGAAATAGGGAGAACGTTCAAGACCTAATGTTTAAAAGGCAGAAAAGGGAATACAGACTATGAATTGAGAACAATATGTGTGTGGACCCGAGTGCAGAGTTAAAATGCGGACATTAAGATCTCGTTGATAAGGCGGTTTCCTCCTCTCTTTCAATTCCCCGTTTCACAATGTCTTTCAGTTTACTTAAAAACGTTTAGTTCCCTGTAGCAGCTTGTTTTACTGCCAAGATGCCCAAGGCCACAGTTAGCTGCTCTCAACCCTGGGGTGGCTTGTCCTCTAGGAAAGAGGGACAGTTAGTGCTCCCAGAAGACCAGGGCCAGCCGCCTGGGTTCAAATCCAAGGTTTCCATCCTGGGCAACTGAGCCTATGCCACTCAGAAGTGTGACCTTGGACAACCACTCTGGGTTCATGGTGCCCCACCTACAAAACTGGGAACAATAATAGAAATGGTGAGAGGAGCTGGGGAGGGTTTGCTAAAGCATTTAAAACAGAGTATGGGTTTATTAAATAAATAAAGAGCTGGGGCAACACCGCCCCTTGAGGGGTGGTCAGCCCGGGCCTCTCTCAGGAAAAGCGCAGAATTTAAACACAGAGCCCTGCATGCTGTTGTGGAAACAAAGGCTCTTCCGGGGATGAGGCCCAGCGTTTGGGGCGTTGGGGGTGGTGGTGGTGGGGTGCCTGGGGAGTAACACCGTTCGGCATCTCCCATCACAGCACCCAATGCCACCCAGGGGCGTGCACGAGCAGTGCAGGCCTCATGCTTCCTGGGAAATAGCCCCAGCCGGAACCAGCCCGAACTAGTTGGAACCAGCCGAGCATGCCAACCTGTTAAGAGAAAAATAAAAGCATGGTCTCCAGCCCTGGCGCGTTACAAACGCTACAGTTCCACAACGAACAGCACTAAGTAGCAAGCTACGAACCCAGCTCCGGGGCCGCCGCGGGGCCGCTGGCGTGCGCGCACAGGCCTCAGCATCGCGGCGCTCTCGCCCCGCAGG